ATCGAGGACTTGATCACCCTTTCTTTTTTATGTCTTTATTTTATGTTTAGACTTTTGTATGGGCCGTGCCCCTAACTATTTTCAAGTATTAGATAGCTTGAGACAAGTGTAATAGACTTCCACTTCGTTTTATGTAACCTTTATTGTATTGAAAAATGTTTCAAGTTTCCATACTTTTCTATTATCTTATGTTGTGATATGCTAAGTGGCTTACATGGGGTTCTTTGGGGTTCTATGTACCGTGTTACATCTAAGGAGTACCCCTGGGTCGTGACAAACTCGATAATCAGAGCATAAAGTTTAGAATAGTTCTAGTATGTCTCAAACCACATCTAGTAGAGTCTTGTTCATACATGTGAAGTGCACCACATTTATGAATAGGAGGCTATCAGATGTTTAGGAAACTCCACTTCTTCTTTCTCTAAGTTCCGTCATATATTTTAAATCTATTAGGTCTTTCTCCTAATTCGTGCCCGATGGTTTTCAGGATATGACTACTACAAGCGCTAATGTTAGAAGGAATGAGGAAGACAATGTAGATCAAGAAGTTCCTCCTCAAGCTCCAATTGACCTTTTTAAAGAGAAAGTGACTAATGAGAAACTTAGGTTGGGCTTTCAAATGTTGATTCAGGTTGGGATAAAAACTCTGGAATTTTATGGGTCAAAGATAGAGAAAGATCCTCAAGATTTTATAGATGAGGTCTCTAAGGTGTTGGACATTGTAGGAGTGACTCCGGTGGAGAAGGCAGAATATAGGTGAGGTCTCAAAGGGGTTGCTCAAGTTTGGTTTAATCAGTGGAAAGAGGCTAGACCGTTAGGAATGGGTCCCATAGAGTGGGAAGGGTTCAAGAGTGCCTTTCTAGAAAGGTTCTTCCCGTTAGAGATGAGAGGAGCTTTAGTTCTTGAGTTAATTATCCTAAGGCAAGGTAATATGAGTGTTAAGTAATATGCATTGAGGTTCACCCAATTGTCTAAGTATGCTCCAATTCTAGTGTCCGATACTAGGTCGGGAATGAGTATGTTTTTGTCGGGTGTGTCCGACTTGGTAGTGAAAGAATGTCGTACATCCATGCTTGATCATGACATGAATATTTCCCTTCTTCTGTTTTATGCTCAACAAATTGAGGAAGGTAAACTTAAAGAAAGGTTTAGGAAGAAAAAGAAGTTTAGGATTGATGATGATAATTCTTCTCTTGAAAGGTTCTCCGGACAAGGTCCTTCTAGGTTTCCCTAAGGTTTAACAAATATAGGGTGTGTAACCCTAAACAACAAGGAATAAGTAGTGAGTCCATATGGACTATTTGTGATAGGTGTGATAGGATACATGTGGGTAGATGCCTAGTGGGTCCCAATGTTTGTTTCGGTTGTGGTGAGTTGGGCCACAAGCTAAGGCATTGCCCTATGATTGCTAGAAATATAGGGGATAGTCATCGTAGGTCTCAACCCTACCATTCATCCAGTCCAAGTGGTTCGGGTGCGAATGCTCCAAAGAAAATTAGGTTTTATGCTCTCCAAGCTAGAGGTGAACAAGAGTGTCTTCCAAATGTTGCTCCAGGTATGTGTTTTATGCTTATTTAGATTCCAGTGTTGCTTGTTTTTTGTGACTTGATAGACTTTTGATGTTGGCTTTGGTATGGATGGGTTGCATTCGGGTTAAGTTATTTGATGGTAGAACCCGACTTAGTCATGATGAGTTTTGGGGTATGTTAATAGATTTGATGATTAGGGTGCTTGAGTAATGCCTAGATGTGTTGAGAGAATAGACCCCTCTAAAAAGGGTAGAAGTGTAATCTACCATGGTTTAGAACCATCTTGTATGATAGACGTGAAAACTTAGCGATGACTAGATCCAACCTTAGAATTTAAAGAAATGATGCCTAGAATAGCCCATATAGGCTAACTCCCAAGGGAGAGATAGTGTGCTTAGATAGCAAGGTCGTTGAGTGGTTTTGATGTTCATGATATGGGTTGGCTTGAAATTCTCACCTTGAGAGGTGTAGTAAGTTTTGGGGAGTTTAGTCCTGATCTTGTAGGCTCATATGAGATCATGAGTAGAGTTGGTAAGGTTGCTTGTGAATGAGAGTTGCTTAATGAGTAGTACCGGCGTATATGGTTTTCCATGTCTATTGGAAATAGAAGGTTGTTGGAGATCCGACATTCATAAATTCCTTAAGAAGATTTGGGAGTTAATGAAAATTTCACTAATTTATAAATACCGGTAGAGATCTTAGACCGGCAAGTGAAGAAATAGAAGAGCAAGGAAGTTGCTTCCATGAAAGTGTTAAGGAGTGGTCATTTAGTGAGGGTTTCAGGTGAGGGTGATACTTGGCTGGCCAAGGGCCAATGAGATGTCCCGATGTCCTCATCTTTTTTCCTTCTATTCCTCCTTTAGCTTGAGATGATAAGTCCCTCTTAGTTGTGTTATGTTTTGGGGTCATGTGTGATTTATGTGTTTCCATGATTTCCTTATGTTATGCATGTTTTTGAGAAATTCATGTTTAGTAAGAAAATGAGTTTTCAGGATTTATGTTCCTCACGTTGTTGTGCATTGAGTATGAGTTACCTATTTGACTTCATAAAATGAAATGACGAACATGCTTTAGTATGCTTTAGAGAGTAAATTGCATCTTAAATCCATGATGTTGTGTTGAGCATGCTTTTAGTTTGGAAAAGGTAGTTCCTCCTACGAATATGAGAAAGGTTGAAAATGCATGCACAAGGGATTGTTAGATGTAGTTCCTACTTCCTTGTGATGCATTGTTTACGTATGAGTGGGAGTTGATGTTTTCCTCCTTAGATGTGTGCATTTAGATGTGTTACATGCATGATGGGCTGCTAGTCAAGAGTCGTTTCCTTAAGAGGTGTTTAGAATCATCATTCGAAGACGAATGTTCCCAAGGGGAAGATATTGTAACACCCCGTAGATTAGTAGGCTAACTAGGGCTAAGAGTGACGACAACAAGACCTAAGGCAAGGGGGCAAGCCCCAAGCCAAGGGCGAAGGGTGCCCCAAACTTGCCAAGAACTGCCCCACCTCACAACTACCACCAAAACTCGTGGTGGCTAAGGCAGCAGCTACCTAGAGCTGCCCAAGAATGGCTCATCATCACGAGCCATTTCACGACCAACGGTGAAGACCAGGGCTCATGGGAAGGCTCGTGAAGATGCCTTCGAGTGTTGGAGGCGAAGACACCATGGCTTAGCCACTGCCCAAGGACCACCGACAGGACCATGGCTCGTGGAAGGGACCACGACTCGTGGAGCTAGCTGTGGTGCCTGAGAGCAGGTTGCCTAGTGAAGAGTAATTTGGGAAATTCCTTTTTAAGTTATCTTTAAGTGAGGTCATTTTGTATAGTCTTAGTACACCTATATAAGCTATTTTAACCCTTCAAACTACCCAATTAAGTCATTTATTTCCAAAACACAAATTAAAACCACAAGTTCATCCTCTCAAATATTTCTCTCTCTAGAAAACTCAAAGAAGAAGAAGAAGAAGAAGAAGAAGAGGGTCAAGCTATGTATAGACTCCATTGCTTCAAGCTTTCTAGGATTCGTAATCAAGGTATGATGGCTTATTCATTGATGGATCCCTTTCATCCATGAAACCCCCATGTTTCCCCCAATTGTGAAGTTGATTCCCCAATTCTAGTTAGGTTTCCTGCCTATATTGTGGGTATTGTTGTATGTTGATCCAATTGAGTGGATAATGGTTGTTTATGATTGGTTATGATGTAATTACATGTTTTTAGTAGGATTATACATGTATTCTTGATCAACCTAGGATTCTAGGGTGAAATTGATATAGTTTGGTTTTATGCCATGAAAGTGGAAATTGAGGGCTTAGATGTGACCTTCTAAGATTGATGAATTACTTTAGGAATTTCTTGAGATTAGAGCACCTAGATATTAATTGATTAAAAGTAAAGATTATACATATGAATTGATTAGATTAGTGACTATTTGATGAATCGTGATTAGTAGTGTTGAGATTGAGATTATATGATGATATATGATTAGAATTGCTTAAGAATGAAGCATGTGGTTAAATTGTCTTGAGAATTAGGCATACATGATGACCGTGTGAGGTATTTCTTGAGAGTAAGGCTTGTAGTATGAATGTGATTTTTAGGGCCTTGAGGGTAAAAGCTAACATGTTGAATTATTAATGTCAAGGCTTTGATAGTGAAGCTTATATGATGATGGTAGATTAATTATTACATAGAGTTGTTGTAAAAGGACCTTACCCACCTAATCTACCTCATATATGTTTGATTTCCTGAAATGATATGAGTTAGGATGATATCCATGTCTAGAGCTTGAACCTTAGGTGTGATGATTGAAAATAAGTTTTGAACCTCAAGGAGGTGAAGTATGAGATTATGCTTATAGTAATTGAACTACTCACTACACCATTTTAGGCCTACGGCCACCCCAGTAAAGTGTAGCCTAAACTAGCAAAAAGTGTGGCCTTTGATAAAAGGCTACACTTTTGGACTTTAAGCAACGCTTTTTAGGGGGTGGCCTAAAGAAGCGTAACCTTTGACATTAGGCAACACTTTTTAAATGTCGCCATCGCGTAACCTTTGACATTAGGCCACGCTTTTGAAATGTCGCCATAGCAGCTACACTTAAAAAGCGTGGCCAAAGAGGTATAAAGGGCACGCTTTGTAGTAATTCATTAGCAACACCTTTTGTTTGATTATACTACACTTAAAAGTGTGGCCTTTGCTTAGTTATTGGTCACACTTAAAAAGTGTTTCCTTTTATATCTCATCTAGATCAACACTTATAAGTGTAACTTTTCTTATGTACAAGATAACATTGGACGTCCTACGACAACACTTTTGAAGTGTGGCAATGTTGTGTAGAATTTTGTAGCCACAATTTTCTATTTTTAAGAATAATAATTTTTATTTGCATATATTCAATAATCACATAATTAAATACACAAGTGACCTAAAGTACAAAATTAACTAATAATTAAATCGAAGCTATATATTTCAAATAAACTTCGAGAAATATGTCTTGTACAACCAATACTTAGAAAGTGATTGCTTAAAGATATCTACTATCAATAAACTCCACAACACCAAATGCATTCAAAAATATATGGCAATAGTACTACAAAAACTATTCATCGTTCACTACAATAGATCAAGTTTTACTTCTGGCCACAATTCCAATTCAATTACCGGCATTTTCCTGCACATTCAAAATAAAATTATAAATTAGTGAAATAAATCATGTATTTAATATGCTTAAATTCACAGTAAGCTAAACCAATTCATAACAATAAAGATGTGGAAGTGCATAATTGGAGAGTATTCACTGTAAGCCAACCAATTCAAAAGTGGACTCGACTTTTAGGCCTGAGGGGGAAACACCTATAATCCCTATTTGGATTTCTCTACCGGAGCTACCTTGGCATTTATCACAAGGACATCTTGTCAGCCCTTCTGAGTCCTATTGGCAAAGTTTTGTACTTGGACACTGCTTCTATATAAAAAACTAGAGGAAGTGTTGCTAGGGTCAAAGTCCAATTGATCTTACCAAAGAGAGACCTCCTCATGTGTGGATGGGGTTGAATGAAGAAGATCTTAACTTAGGGAGGTGGCAAACTATTGAATATGAGCATATTTCGGATTACTGCATGTATTGTAAACACCAAGGACCCTTGTTACATGTCAGTACTATTAAGCAAAGAGATGACGAATTTAAAAAAAGAAAAGAGTTGGAGGCTGATAGGAAGAACAAAAACAAAGGGGAACAAGGCAAACAAGATTCCAGAAACCTGCAAATGCAATACACAAATAGAGAGGATGGAAACAACAGTTCACAATACCAGCAGCACCAAAAACAAGGAAATAACAACAAGCCAGCTGATGAAGAATGGCAGACTCAGAAGAGGAAAGCTTACAGGCCAGTTCAACATAGCATAGACAGACCAAAATCTCCTAAGGAAACATTGCAGCAGCAGCAGACTCGTCACACAGGTATGACTACTAATTCTGCACTCCCTACTTCTAATAATTTCATTGATCTTTCTATGCAGGATCAACCAAACAATCAAGAAGGAGCTAAAAATCAGAATTCAAAAAATAAGGATACAATGGAGACACAAATTAATAATAAGTCAACCACTGACTTACCTTCCACAGCCAACCAATTGTCAAACAATTCCGACAAGGAAAAAAAAGAAAAAATTCTGAAAATCAAAGGAAAAGGATCACAGGTATTGACTCTACTACTCCCCTACCCAAGAACCCCCTTGTTAATTGTTTGGATGAGGTTGTTGAAGTTATTGGAGGGTTGGAAGGAGGGTGTCAGGATGGTTGGAAGGAGGCTGTTCAAGTTACAGAAACACAATCAGTTTATTATTTTCTTTCGCTAGTAAATCAAGTTTCAGTTAAAGATAAAATGGAGAGGGCGGATCAAGCAACCAAGCAAACTTAATATACAGTAAATTGGTTACCTTCTTATGGTATCTATAATATGTTCCACGCATCCTGCAAATGTTCTCAATCCATAAGTTTTATCACAAGGAGTACAACAAAAATGAGTTTCCATAGGCTCAGCAGCAACTATGAAAAGAAAAAAACATCAGATCAATTTTTCTATTACGTGGGATAAGGAACACGAATATACCGAGAATTAAACATGCACTTATCGTGTGATATAGATTCCTATCGATACCATTAGAAGGTAAGCAAACATCCACTGGAAAAGCAATTCGATTGAGGCAAAAAAAAAACATCTTCAAATTATGCTTAGAAACAAGGACCTAATAGTCTTAGTTACTACTACTAGTACTCTATTTAGTTCCCCTAAATGATGGACTCATCTGAGGCAATGTTTCTTGGAATAGCCAGAACTAACCAACTTGCAGCTCCCTGGGGCAATGATATGGCAGAAGAAGAACAACATTTTCTTACTTGTTGATGACCGTACTCCTTCCTACTGATGCTAACATGGCTAGCCCTGTCATCCCCTGAAGATTGCTGTGCTTTACTCATCTTGACTCCCTTCACCGGAGAGGAGAATGCCTTTAGTAACATACACAGAGAATTAAAGTGGCATTCAATTATCAAGAACATAAATAGTTAATTAGATTGAGTGCAAACTGAGAGAGATCTGGAGATAGGATGCATGATACTCACATGAGGTATGACGGTAGTTGTTGTGGTTATAGTTTGTCTTGATATTAGGGCTTGGAGAAATCCTTCACCAACGTTATGAGGGACATCATTTAATTTGATGAGAGTAGTTGTCTTGTTTCCAGTTGACTAGTTCATCATGTTATCCCCAACTTCATAGCAAGTTTCACTAGATATGGTGGAGACAGTAGCAGTGACTGTTCGTCTTTCAGGGACAGGCTTGACAGGGGATGCTAGGTTGTTGTTATGAAAATTATTAGTGTAAAGAAGCAATGAAGGAGGAGCTATGGCAGTAGAAGAAGAGACTGAGGGTGGTGTTTGGACCATATAAAGATCTTCAACCTGGACCAGAACCTGAGGGGACATGTTCAACCATTACTCTTGCGGACCATGTTTAGCCAAAGGAAACTACCCTGGGGTTTTCACAGTCTGAAGCCACTCTTAAGCCTTTGTATCTTGGCATCTTTTCCCTCAGCTGCTGGGGGAGTATTTTTTGCTTTTCTGGGGTTAATTGTTGTTAGCTCATTTCTCTGATCATTTGAACTCTCCATTGCTACATCTACTGCTTGCACTCCCTATTTCTCACTTCCTTGTTCCACTTCCTTTTTCTTAACTTCAACAAATTATTCAGCCGACAACATAAATAATGTGATCGCCTTATCTTTTTCTTCCAGTTTAGACACCAGGTTCAGAAACTTATCCTGTATTCATCACCAAATTAACGTTTAACAGTCGACAGAAATTACTAATACTAAAAATATCACGACTCCTACAGTAACATGCATATCCTACAGTACCATGAATCTCTCTACTTCCTCACTAATCAAACATAATTAAGCCCCACCTCTCCCTTTCCATTTCACACTAACCAGAAATAACAACTTAGAGAACCATAGATGGGAATAGTGCATTTTGATGGATTAGATTACAGACATCAGAAATGATTGAGTTCGGTATCTCAAATGTGAGTTACAACATAATATAAACTATGGAAGTGTGAGTTGCATCTAATTCCACATGCAAGGCAATAACATACATATAGGTTGATTAATTAGAATACCTCCATTTTTTCCATGAAATCTGAATTGGCTATCATTAATTGTTTCTTGCACTTTTCCTGCCACAAAAACAGAACATGAAGTATAATTACCAAACGGGTTAAGTATTAATTTGGAAACCACTCAAATGACATACTTTTGTCTTTTGGAAATAAATACCATTGATGGAATAGCTTTCCTTGAAGTTTCAATAGCTTTGGTTTCTTGTTGCTTCTTCTTCAATTCAAGCTCCTCAATCTTTGTGCGCAAATAAAAACACAAGCATATATGTTTATATATCACCAATGTAAAAGCTTAAAAACACAACCTCAAATGGATGTTGTTGAGAGCTGGAGCCTTTAGAAAGCTGAAACAACAAAATGTTTTGATGTAGTGTCAACTCTAAACCATTTGCTAAAGTTGTTTTTCCAGATTTTGTGAGCTCCCTTACATTAGACTGGCCCTTAAGATGGTTATTCCCTTTTTGGTGTTTGGCTAGCTCCCCGACCCTTTCATAGCATCGTGTATAGGAGCTAGCACATCTAATTTTGTATCTATGGCATCTTCTTGATAACAACTTACCTTATCAACCAAAAAAAAATTTAGTGTCCATAAGTTTGTTTATGTTAGACGAGTTGTCTCAAACAAGGTTATACATAAAGAAGTTACACATTTAACAAGAAATCAATGTGAGTAATCAAGAACCCTTTCCCCAACCTAATGAAAACATGCAATTAGAGAAAATCTTATAATATCAACACAACCCATTAAATATTGATTATCTATTCTTATTTGTATTGCTGATGTGCACAAAATCTAGTTCTTTCGAATGAAATGCAGAGATTCCATTATCTTTAATTTTCCTTTTTTATAATTAAGCTAGTGGATGAGATCAATGAATATGAGACAGTAGACAAGAAAAGTTAATACCCTGAAAATGCCCTTAAGAACATCAACTCCCAGAACAATTGGATCCTTCTTCTTGAAGACACAATTTGGTATGATCTTGAGCACACAGGGGAGGACTGCTTCTTCAGCAACTTCCTTCTTTTTTTCTTCCTTGATAGTGTCAATGTAAGCTTTAAACTGATCAAATAAGTGATATATAATATCAGCCATAAAAACTTTGACACCAAGTTCATCTGAAAGTTCCCGAGCTCCCTGTGTCACTTTAACATCAAAGGCCAAGATGGTTGAATACTCTTTCTTCTTCTCAAGCATAACACTAGCTTTTATGACATTCTTTTTATGCACGGGACCTATGCCAATCCCACTGACAGGTATGCTTACTCCTGGGGTCTTCAAAAATTCCAGCAAAGCTTCTAATGATCCAAGTGTAGTTGCTTGAACATATACTCCCTCTCCAGTTTTGTCGATCCTGCTCATCACTGACTTCATATCTTCCATAGCTGCTTCTTTGATGTCTTCCACATCATCAGCAGGCCCCACAACATATAGACTAGTGCCAGCAATCGCATGCTCAAAGCCTTGAACAAGAATAGAAAGAACCAAGGGGGGGGGGGAAGGAGAAAGCTCTCAGTCTCACTTATTCATGGAAAACCACCACTAAATCAATAGCCATATAGTAAATAGTGAAAGCATCACACATCAGTAGAAGAAAATGCCAATACACCCATGCAATGGACTGAAAGGTTATGGCTCGTTAGTTGAACTTCCAAGTCAAATTTCACTGAAGTAACAAACTACACAAGAACAACCATTGGATTTCTTACAACTATTCCAAGTCAAAATAGGACGGTATTTGTACAGCTATTCCAACAAATTTTTTCTCAAAGGTACCACAAAATATCAGACTTAGGAAATCAGAAATTCTGAACAAAATTGATATGCTCAGGGACATCATGAATAGAACAAAAAGAAAAGAAGAGACTATATGTTCCCAAATTAGAATAACCTTCCAATGCTCTTGCACAAATTTCACCATATTTGTTGAACATGAGACATCAAGTGCATTGGTTGGTTTCCTGACAAGAAAAAATAGAAAAAGGAAAGAGATGTACGTGCAAAGAGATAGCTCCTCCACTTATTATTTTTCGTGCAATTACGAAGCTTCCTCCAAATCTTTATGAAAAGTTATTTGACTTCCAACAGTAATCAGGACTCAAAAGTTATATCCAGTAGATGACACTCTACTTTGCTTGATTGATCCTAGAAAAACTAATGCTAATTTTATTTTTAATTAAAAGGAAATCAGGAACCCAAACATAGCATCATCTGATTTTAACAACAAACTAATCTAAGATTCAAAATACATACACTTTCTAACAACAGATCAGTCAAAATAAAATGCACTTCTGACTCTCTGCATTAAGTTTCCTACCCAATAAACTTCCTAAGCTTGATCCTAAGACTAACCAAAAATGAGCTCACAGATTTACAAGTAGTGAATAATACCTGGGAGGTTATCTTGATACCTTGGGCAGCCTTGATTTTCTTATGATGCAAATATGTTCCTTGAAAGGATTTTTCCCAATCAAGAGAAGGCACTTTCATCAGTACGCCATTAGATAAATCAAATATCAGATAAATTCAAAGAAAAACATGACAATCAATTCATTCTTAAGATTTTTTTCATGCTCCATTGACCACAAGGTACAAAAGTACAAAAATAATTAGGGCATAACTGAACCTGCAGACTTGTGTCCCATGTTCGGAAAATTAAACAAGTAATGTGCACATCTTGATGTGGGAAAAGCCTATTTTAACAGGGGAAATTGTAATTTGAACACAAATCTAGAAGCCTCACAGCAAATTTCTGATCTTCTGTTTCTTTTGTTCAGAGAAAATTCAAAGTGGCAAAAACCAAGTGTGTTATCAACAATCTAGGATTAATGTAACAACTCAACAATTCCATGTCCATGAAAGCATCCACAAGCTTGAAATGATTTACATATATCTCAAAAGACAGGGGTCCAAATAAACCAGGGTAGAGGTACTGTTAAAAGAAGGGACCAAAAGAACAACTGACATCATAAACTCAACTTTCAATACAGCCACATAACTCTTGAGCTAGAACCCCCACCCACAAAGTAAACCTTTATTTTTTGTACGAAACATTTGGCGTTGAGGAAACAGATAACTCTAACATAGTATGTTACCTTGACAAGCCCAGACGAGAAGAAGGCTGACATATTCACCGTGTGACTGAATCTATCTTCATCGCCACTTCTCGTAGATTCTCCGATTCCTCTAAATTCAAAATCCTTCGAATTGTTTCTCTCGTCTCTAGGACAAAGGTGAAGAAGGATTAGGGAAATCGCCACATGCCATTGATAAGGAAACTGGAGAATTTTTGGGTGAAATTGAGAAGGAGAATAACTAGGGTTTATGGTTTAATTTTTGAGTAGTGCTTTTGGCAAAGAGCAGCACAAATTTTGGTTTGGGGAAAAAACGTTTTTATGTTTGTATAGAGTGTTTTTTTTTTGGCCAATTAGAAATTGGAGGGAGAGTTGAATATATGGGAGGTAATACAATATTTTGGTGAAAATTTTTAAGATAATTATAAGGCCATACTTATCAAGTGTTGCTTTTAGAATTATAAAAATAGCACACTTCAAAAGTGTAATCATATGTGTAAATAAGTGTTGCTAATTATGTAATGATTTGGCAACACTTATAAAGTGTAGCCTATACCGTTAAACGGTACGCTTTATAAGTATTGACAATATTATCATAGTCAAAAGGCCAAAACTAAGGCTATGCTTTAAAAGCGTTGCTAAAAATATTTTAGGCAACACTTTACAAGCGTTGTCCAGATTTAGTGTGGCCTTATGCCTAAAATGGTGTAGTGACTTGAATTATGATTATTTCCATGTCTAATGTTGTTATTCTAGAGATGTTGATTTGATATGAGCTTTGATCTTGAAAGGGGAAGACATGATATTATGCATGTTTTATGAAGGTTATGCACATGCTTTAAGAGCACTTTGAGAGTAAAGTGAAGATGCTCATGATTTAGTTGTTGTGTGGTTGAGAGGTTATTCTCATATACACACCTATGTATGAATATGATACGATGTGAATGGTTTTCTCACAATATGATGATTCTAAGGTTAGAAGACTATTCTCACCTAATGAATCTATATGAAGACATGGACGGTGAAAAATTATTCTTACGCATGATATAATGAGCTATAGTATGAGTTATGTTGGATTGACTTTTAACACATTCTTCCATAAATATGAACTTAAGTCAAGACTCAATATGAACTCAATGAGATGGAAGCTTTTATGCTAGTTGAGTCCGGCTTTGCAATGAAAGCTTTTACACTAGTTGAGTCTGGCTTTCCAAATGGGTTCCTTCTACCTTAGTTGAGTCCGGGTTCCCAAAGTATTTATCTCATGAGATGGAAACCTTCTACCTTAGTTGAGTCCGGGTTTCTAGTAACAATCATCTTATCCCATAAACTAGGTGCCCTCGTAGGTTACGTAGATAATAGATCCATCTAAGCTAAGAATATGGCTCTACCTTAGGCAAGTAGAGCAACCCCTTTTCGATGTGGGGTAGACACCGGATTCCATGTTAAGCTCAGATGGTCTATGTTGGTTAAGGCTAATTCCCACAGTAAGAATATGAATTATGAACTATGGTTTCTCAATAAGCTCTACTTAGCATGGGTAGGATTATGGGGTCGTATTCATGCATTGTACAAGTATGCTTTGAGGGTGTTCATGGTATGCTCTCTTATGTTATGATGGTCTATGTAATTAATGTGTTTATGACTTATGGTTATGATGTATGCTTAGTTTGGATTGTAGCTTGAGAGGCCCTTCCAATACATGTGTGACTAAATGTGAATGTTCCATTGTCTATGAGACATAAGCTAAGTATGAGATCAAAAGATGATAGATATGAATAAGGACCTAAAGTTACTTGCTTAGAATGGGTGGGATTATGGGGTCTTATCCATGCATTGGACAAGCTTGCCTTTAGGTGACTTATGTAGTGTTTCTTTTATGTTATGTCAAACTAGATGCATTGATTATGCCTATGACTATGTTGTTATCTCTTATGCTTATAGCCTATTTCTTATTATGATGTCTCTTATGCTCTTGACTTATGTTATTGTCTCTTATGATTATGGTTTATGTCTTATGTTGACTAATGTCTCTTATATGCTTAGGTTGATGATTTATTCTAGCCATCATATTTATTGCATTATTGTACTAACACATACTTTTGCCAACATTCTTATCAAATGTAGGGCTCGGTGATACTGACTTCCATCCTCGTGGATAGGTTCATAGTAGATCAAGAAGAGAAGTTTTGTTGAGTCCTCATAGCATCGAGGACTTGATCACCCTTTCCTTTTTCTGTCTTTCTTTTATGTTTAGACTTTTGTATGGGCTGTATCCCTAACTCTTTTTAAGTATTAGATGGTTTGAGAAAAGTATAATAGACTTCTGCTTTGTTTTATGAAACCTTGATTGTATTGAAAAATGTTTTAAATTTCCTTACTTTTGTATTACCTTATGTTGTGATATGCTAATTGGCTTATATGGGGTCCTTCGGGATTCTATGTGCCATGTTACATCTAGGAGGTACCTGATATACCGTGGGTTTACGGTATTTCTAATACATTTCACTTAAAGAGTTATGTGTGTCTAGGGATATTTTGTATTGGTTTTAATGCATTTTTATCATGTTTGCAGGAAATATGTTAAGACGTGGAAAATGAGAGACACAACTGAAGGATGTAAAGAAAGGACATCTACGGAGGTGATCTACGGACCATAGGTCCATTCACGCTCCATAGATGGTGACCGTAGATGGGCAGGTAAGGGTTGAAGGAAAATCAAGGAATTCTTGATTAAGTGTGGAACCACAGTTGCAAACCACGGAACGTAGATCGACCTACGCTCCATACTGTTGTTCCGTCAAATCATTCAGAGAGGGGTTCTGGTACCTGATTTTGAAGATTCTAAGTACGGAGCTACGGAGGAGGATCCACGGACCATAGATTGATTCAGAGAAGTGGAGATTTTTAAGACAGGAAAATTGCTTAAGTCTGAAGCCACGGAAGGGACCTACGGACCTTAGATCAATCCACGGTCTGTAGGTCAATGTCGTAGATCAAAGACGCATCCTGAAACTTTATTTCCTTATTTCATTTCCTTTTTAGTTAAGACTGGTTTTTGTATATATAGGGCATCTAAACCTCTTTATTTGGGGTTAGACATTATTACTTTTATTCTAGTTCTTGATTTTGGAGATTAACTTGCAACTTTAGCAATTCTTGATCTCCTAAGTTCGTTTTGAAGATTTTGGTTTGGAAATTGAAGTTGAAATTCTGGGTTTATCATTCTCATTACGTAAGTTCATGATTTCTTCTTCTAAAAATATGAAATGTGTTCTTGTTAATATGAGTAACTAAATCCAAAACTAGGGTTGTGGGAACCATATGCGATTAACAAAGTATGAATAGTAACTAAGTAATTCTTGAATAGTGTTGTTGCATGCATTGATAATTCTTTCATTTAGAAATCTTTTTAACGAGTGCACATGTTAGACCTCGCCAGATTAGAGGAAGAGGCTATGCTAAAGCTTGGTGATAGGGCTAAAATAATGATGCTTTTCCAGATGAACATGTATAAGCTGCTTCTCATGATCTGATTCCTTGGTTCGTAGACTTTGCTAATTATTTGGAAAGCGATTTGGTGCCCCCGGATTTGTCTTTTCACCAAAGGAAAAAGTTTATGCATGATGTAAAGAAATTCTTTTGGGATAAGCCTTACTTGTATCGGAGTTGTGCTGATGGGATTATTCGTCGCTGTGTGCCCGAGGTTGAGATATTGAGTGTACTTGAGGCGTGCCATTCATCGCCTGTTGGTGTGCATCATAGTGGTATTGGCATTTTGCATAAGATCTTTCAGTATGGGTACTACTGGCCAACCATCCACTAAGATGCTCATTATTTTGCCAAGTCTAGTGACTGTTGCCAAAGAGAAAAAGGGATTTCAAAGAGGCAAGAGCTTCCTATGAATCCTATATTGGTGGTAGAGTTGTTTGATGTATGGGGCATTGATTTTATGGGTTCATTTGTGAGTTCACATGGGATGAAGTATATTCTTGTTGAGGTTGGTTATGTGTCGAAGTGGGTGGAAGCAGTTGCACTCCCCAACAATGAAGGTAAAAGTGTCACCGCATTCTTGAAAAAGAATATCTTCTCCAGATTTGGTACATCAAGGGTGATTATCAGTGATGGAGATTCCCACTTTTGTAATAAGTCGTCAAGGCGCTACTTGGGAAATATGGTGTCCTCCACAATGTAGCCACTCTTTACCATCCGCAGACTAGTGGGCAAGTTGAAGTATCCAACAGAGAGATCAAACAGATTTTGGCGAAGACAATGAATGACTTGAATATGCTTGATGAGTTTCACCTAAAAGCTTATGAAAGTTCATCCTTGTATAAAGAGAATTTGTTATAGGTGATCTTGTGCTTCTATTCAACTCTAGGTTGCGTTTGTTTCTGGGAAAACTCAAGTCCAAATGGACCGGGCCATTTTTGCTCACAAAAGTGCTCCCCCATAGAGCAGTTGAGCTTGAAAACAGTGAAGGAACAAAGTTCATGGTAAACGGGAAGAGAATCAAGATCTATCTGTGAAACGTGGAAAGTGTGGAAAAAGTTGTTGAGGCCTACTATCTTGATGAAGTCTGAATAATCAAGAGGCATGCA